GCATAATGACTAGAGCTGAACAAAATTATCCTGATCAAATATTTATTTTGGCAGAAGTTCATATAGGCTGCCACTGTTGTTATTCAGAATGCATCATTTAATGTATATTTTTAGGCACATGAGTGTATCTTAATGAGCATTCAAAGTTGTCTTCAACCTGTTGGGATCTGGGGAAGGCTGGTTGGTGTTGTTTCTCCACCAGAGGGCATCCTGGGGCTGTTCCTGGAGGGCGTGACCTGCAGCTCCCTACCTGCACACCTGCCGCCACTTACCTTCATTTGGAGGAGTTAATCTGGAGGGAGCAGCCGCCACCCCAGGGCCAGAGTTTTAGCCAGTAATGGTAGTTATCATTAGTGTGCTCACCTCCGATCGACCTGATCCTTGCGTAATTCTCTCTGTGTTGCCTCTCCTCAGGTTATACCTCCGTGAAGCCTTGTGCTGAATAATGTCAACTTTGCATTAAAAGTGTCATTATTTACCAAATGACACTTTATGACAACAGTCAAATATTCAGACATATTCATGTTCATGATAGGTGTTATGTCATGTTTATGACAGTGTCATGTCAGTCTTATTCAACCCCCACAAATAAAGTGTTACCGAATTATCATAGTGCTTTGGCACCAGGTGATTTATTTTCTCTCAGTAACAGTGCATTGACATCTGGTAATACAGATAAAACGAGATGTTGACATACACAGAATAAATACACATATCACTGCCTTAACTTAACTAGTTTTACGTAAGTAAGAATTATAAAAAATAATTTCCATGTACAAAATGCCAGAAAACTTAGTGAAAACTTTCTAATTGAATCAAAGCAAACTTTTCAACATATCTAAACATTGAAGCTAGAGAATACTACTTCAAGCAACAAAAAAAAATCAATGCTATGTAATATAATGATGACTTGAATGCAGGGGTGCACCGATTTCAGTTTTCTGGATGATAAATGATCTTTTAAAAGTCTGACTTGTCAATTTTGATTTTAGGCAATACAACGTTTTTTTTATCTGAAAAGTCACCAAATATACCGACAAAGTCACTAAGTTGGCAAAAGTACGATGACTATTAGTAACTACACACTTGCAAACGTGATCTGGTGGATGGGTCTGTCAGTTTGCTGTTTCACTACAGAACAAAAGGGGGACAGTTGCTGATTTTCAGCTCTTTGCAGAAGTAGATAAGATCAGTTTCTCATGCAAGTACCAGCTGATCATCATCCATCCATTTTCTTCCGCTTCATCCGGGGTCAGGTCACGGGGCAGCAGCTTAAGAAGAACCACCGATCTCCAAAATTAAGGAAACTAGGAATGATTTAGAGTTGATTTGGAACCATAATAAATGAAACACTAACCAATATTTTGATGTATAATGACGGCTTGGCCAACATGTAATGTTTCAATTGTTGACTGTGTGTTCTATGACTTTGTATCTTTATATTTTTGTGATGGAAAGCACTCTGAACTGTCTTGTTGCTGAAATTTACTATGCAAATTAACTTGATTGATTGATTGATTGTGCATATTTAAGTCAGGCATCTTTGTGTAATTCTTTCCAGAAATAACATTTTTTGATGCGTTTTGGGTTGAATATAGTTGAAAAACATTTCAGTTCATTCCGGCACTTTGTGTTTGCAATAGCTGTGCTTTTATGCCAGCTGCTGGTTGAGTAAAAACATAATCACTTCATAATTAAGATATTTCATTTCATTTATGCTGACTGTGCAGATTTTAAAAAAATCAATGTTCACTATATAACAGAAGCACCGATAACATAGTAACTTGGAGTCCAGTGAAAGCGACCAGCTCACAAAGCCTCTAAAGACTTCCATGTGACAGTCTGAAGATGGAAACCCTCAGGTGTGTAATTCAACAGTAGAGCCCCCTCCCCCCCACCCCCCTCCTCTCCTTCCCGTCCCAAATATAACAGCTGATGAAATACTGGCATGATTCTCCATCTTTTCCATCACTATTTTTCCTTCAGATACACTTGATTTAAAATGCATGAGCTTCCCCTCATACACAAGTTGCGTTGACTGTATATGAAGCTGCTTCAAGCTGTTTTTTGGAGTTATCAGCAGTTTGTCAGTGCAAACAGTCAGAGACCTATGAGAGCTCTGAATAGGAAACAATTCAACCTGAATGTGCCTTTGTTTGAGATGAAGGACACTGCCATCGCCGCCTGGGACTATTAAGCCCACTTTCTGAAACAGTAGAGCCGTGTGTATGAGGATGACTGAAATAGAAAAGCCCTTATTCCAGTTCTGTCTAAGGGGGGAGAAAGTTGGAGTGGGGGATGGGATGGTTATCAATCGCCATGCTGTTCACTGGGACTTAACTTCTGTCTGTTGTGCTGATTGCAGTTTTCAGTATTGTGAAATTCATACTGAGCATCTCTGTCTGTCTGTTTGTGTATGCCTCTCATCAGCTGCGATTGTCTCCAGTGAGCAGAACCCCGTCATCATCATAGCAGTGGTGGCCGTGGCGGGGACCATCATCCTGGTGTTCATGGTGTTCGGCTTCATCATCGGGAGAAGGTACGCTCTCGCGGGCCCCATTGACTCTCCGCTCCTGTGAGTCTGCGCTTGTCAATTAGCCTTTCAGTCACTCACAGGCCTCCACCACGTGGAGTCTTCACACATGCACACATGTGCACTCATCATCTTGTGGCATGCTGCGCTAATGGCTTGCGATGCATCATTTTCCCCTCCCCATCCACCAACCAAATTTTTAAGCTGTTTTTGTGGAGCCATTATAAGACAAGCACTCCACAGAGAGAGCTTTGGCCCTGCATTCCTGTGTGAGAGTGTGTGACATGGAGAGGTCATGATGAAGTATGGTGCTGATTTTTTTCCATCATCACAAACCACTCAGCCCACTGTCATTATCCCCCTTGCATGAACAGAATGCCAGCCAAACTTGCTTGTCATGATGAAGTCATCTGAATTTCCTCCTTGATGTATTTTAGCAATTCTTGACTCTATTTGGATCTAAACCTTCAGATGAAGTACAATAAATGATTCTGAGTAAAGTAAAACAAAAATGCATCACTCTTCATTTTTGAAGAGTGATGCAAAAATGGGTCTGTACTGCCATGTACAAATTGGGTCTGTACATGGGAGACCCAATTTGTCTGCCATGTACAAAGTTGATCAAAGTTCTTTTGATCAACTTTGGTAGATCAAAAGAACCTACCAAAGTTGCTGTGTGAATGGAGTCTGCATTTCACTTTTTGTGAAGTGCAGACTCCAAAAATATTGCAGCAAATTCTCCAGATGGTACAGTACATCCTGAGATGAACAGAAACTGAAAAACTGACCTGTTAGTAATTTAGTCTGAAAAAAAATGCATACCCATATTCTGTCACACAGAATTCTGTCTGTGTGTGTGACAGACGTCACATGCTGGGGGGACTTTCAGTTCTTTCAGATTATAGAATAATATAATATTATTATATTTGTTCATAATAACTCAAATTTTCACTATGCATTAAAGCTGCAGTACGTACAAAAGATGTCTAAAAAAGATGTTTTTTTACATATTTAGTGAAACTTTCACCATGTCGTGACAGTATAGTATGAGACAGATTTGAGCTCTTCACCTCCACCCTGAGCTTCTATTGTTGTCTGAAGAAATGCACCACTCCTTGTCAAAAACAACCAATCAGAGGCAGGAGGAGGATCTTCTTTGCAGTGTCAGTCAACCTCATGTAGCAAGATGCTAATGCTGCTAAATGGGCTAATGGCAAAAAAAAACTTACCGTTCCAGGAAAATCTACCATCTATTGGTGGCCTTGCTAACTAACATTAGCATTCACAGCAGGTCCTATTATGGTGAAACAACTTTAGCATAAGCTATCGATCTACAGCGATGACGTGACGATATTAGTTTGCATTATTTTGTATTTTGTTTTTATTCATCCGAAAATGATTTAATGAACTCAGCCCTGGTTTCCTGTATGTTATCATTACATGGAGGCAGTAATGTCACCCTGCGCACATGTGGGTAAAGCTGTTCATTTGGAGAAAGTTTATTGCTCATGGTTTGTTTGACTGTGCTTTCTTAAATTTGTACGTCACATGCTGGGGGGACTTTCAGTTCTTTCAGATTATAGAACAACAACACACTACATGTTAAACTGGTTTTACACTGCATGTCCAGTGTGATTATTATGTAGCTGAGCTACTTTCCCTAATCCATGCTGTTGGGTTTGCAGTTCCTACTGCTCAACTTGGTATCTTCACAGATTTGTCTTACAAAGCATTAGTTGACACATTCAAATTTTTGCTATTTAGGATATTAATTTCTCCCTGTTGATTCCACCATTCTCTTTTTCTCCACCCCTCCCTCCCACAGGCACTGTGGGTACAGCAAAGCCGATCAGGAGGGAGATGAGGAGCTCTACTTTCAGTGTAAGTGCTTATTTTCATCTGCCCAAAATACACAATGTATGTTTAGTTTGTACAGATACACGCTGCTCAAGACTAAGCAGGAAGGACGCATTAAAACTCATTAGCACCCCCCATCATGAACATTATCCCAGCTCATTTGATTTGAGGCACTGCTGGGATCTATCAAGCCAGCCTCTGCTACTGATTGGCTTAAATCCATGCTGGAGATGAAGAAGTCAGAACACCACAGATGCAAGACTGACAGCTGCCGGTGAGGGAGGAAAAGGTGGACCAGGATGTAACGGGAAGTTCTTCAAGATGTGTCTGGTGGTTTTATGGGTGACAGAGTTTCTCATCTGCGCATACTTTGCTGTGGTAGGTTTTTAACTGATGCACCACCCCTAATGATGCCCCCAGAGATGCAGTTGCAGACAGCTTCTCCGAGTGGAGCCATAATGATCCCCGCTGTTGTCTAGCTGCTGATTTAGAAACAGAGGGTCAGGAGTGTCACAAAGCCCATGCTGCTGAGCCCAGGCTAGACGCTGTTAAGTATCTGACAAATGCAGCTCAGTATCTGCAAAGTCCCACCTGCTACAAAAAAACAAACAAACAAAAAAAAACCTGTGAGAAAACACAAAGTTGGAGTGGATAGAGTTTAATGGAAGCATCTGTCGTGCAGTGCTGAATGATGAGAGGCTGTCAGGGTGACAGAAGCCAGATCCAACACGAAGACCCAATTTGTCTGCCATGTACAAGTGAGGAACTTGTGATAAGACATGTGCTATCAGATCCACTGACATCTTGGATGGACGAAGCAATTATGGGAGCAAGTGGAGGGAAATCTCAGCTACCACAGCATCCTCTCCCCAGAGCACAATGGATTTGTTGTGTTTACACGAGTGACTTGACTAAGATATCTTACCACCATCCACTCTGTGTCTCTTCAGCTGTTCTGTTGAGTTCTGCTGCAATCTTTTTTTCTGCTCAGTTCTGTTTTTTATAGTAAAGCTTTTATATTGGATTTATTGGCTTTCAGTTTACGTGCAAATTTTAAAGTACATAAGCTCTAATGAGATTTTTTAATCCATTAAAAGGCAATTTAATTTTAATTGCACCACTAAGTAAGATAATAACCCCATTGGTGGTATGACCTTTCCCTCATTGTCCAACACACTGTCATGATGTGGTGATTGAGACATGGTGAGGGTGAACGCAGAGACCCAGGTTGTGATGAAGATGATGATGGTAAATGTGGCTCAAAACGGTCCAGATTAAGCAGCATGGCAGAGAATTTAGCATACAGCTAATTACCGGTAGCAACTGATACAATGAGGACTGAAAACGAGAGCTAAACGCTAACCAGGACTATACAGTACCACTGGAGAGCAGAGAACGTAAGACGTACGACAGAACTGACTTTAGACGTTAGACGAGGATCTGACAAGAAACACAGACAACAGGTGGGACTAAATACACAGGGAGGGTAATCACAGGAACGAGACACAGCTGGGATCTATCAAGACAGGGAGGACAGGACATCACAGAGACTCACAGGATCACAATAAACACAGAAAAAAACCCAAAATAAACACAGAAAAAAACCCAAAATAAACAGAAAACTACGGATCACAACACACACTTCCTTGGATATTCATGACTTTTTCCTATGGGAGGTTTTCTCCTTTCTTATCATCTTGGAAAATCATAAATCTCCTGCCTTAGAAATCATTCAAATAAAATAAAACAATGTGGCCTCTTCTAGCTTTACTCACATTTAAAATATCACTCATCATTTTGAGTTTTTTTTCAGTGCGTAATTGTTTATGTCATCTGTAAGTCAAAACGGTACAGTACAGAAAGTACAGTACAGAAAGATGGACCCATAGTAATTTTTCCCAAATCATTCAAACTAAAAGGGATCAAGACTGCAATATTAATGTCACGAGACTGATATTAATATTGGCATAGTATATTTATATTGCAATATACTATGCAATATAAAAACTTTATTTCAAACAAGAAACATACAGGAGAACAATAAGAGGCTGTAGAGAACAAGGTAGAAACATAAATACAGTATGTTGGGCCATCATAGAACATGTAAATTATATGAATGAAATTGGTGTTCGATGGTTGTACTTTTTCAAGATATAATTTGGAATCCATAATCCAGGTATAATTTGGATTGAAGTTTGTGCCTTATTAGCATCTGCTATCTTGTTGGTGGAACTAACGCAACGTTTATGATTAGTGCTTTGGGGTTAGCGCAACTAGCTTTTCACTATCTATCAGTTGTACCTGTTTCCTGTTGCCTAATCCTGGATGACTTGTCGTAATTGATGGAACGATGATTGTTCAGCCATCAGCTTGTGATGTTAAGCTCAGCTTGCGTTTCCCTCTAAGTGGCTTAAAATTAAACGTTTGGAATGATGATCAGATAGAGATGAAGTGACATGACACTAAAGATGCTGAAAAACCCTACAATGCAGCTAAAGCAGGAAAAAAAAGTAGTAAAAGACTCATCACTAGTTATGGCTTACTGGCAATTCACAAGCAGTTTTTTTCTTATGTTAAGAATTACAATAATCACTTCAAAATTTAATTTTTTATTAACTCAGGTTGTCTTTATCTACTAAATTTGGTTTGATGATCTGGTATATTTAAATGTGACTAAAAAGCAAAAAAACAGGAGAAATTTTTAGGAGGGCAAATACCTTTTCACCACACTGTGTTGTGACAGAGGTATAAAAATAACTTACATATACATGCCTATAAATTTCACATAAAAAGACCTGAAGATCTGAAGAAGGTTGCTGCTGTTTAGGGAACAGTAAAAATACAGGAGTTGGTCTGTAAAACATTTAGAGGAAGGAAAATCAACCAATACAAGTCAAAGTAAGAACAGTTTTAAAGCAAAAGAATTTGAGAGCTCCTAAAATATTCAAAAGCATTGATGTTATATTAAAAAAAAAAAACTAAAACTCTTTACCGACTCATCTCATTGAATAATAACATATTTCACAACATATCTGTTAGAAACTGTGAGGCTCTCTCAGCTGCTTTAGGTGAAAGGTAGCCGACAATCTGATAAAAGGCACCAAGCACAGGTTCCGAAAATCTTAGCTTCCCACTCTGTGCAGGGTTCTCAGGCATTTTGACACCAGCATCTAACGGTTCAGCTGCTCCCTCTGGATCCCTGGCCTCTGTAATCGTTTGCCTCTCAAGTGCCTGCTGGCGCGCAGTGTGCATTTTTAATCATAACAATAATCCTCTTACCTTTCTACAGTTAAATTTCCAGGCACCAAAACCTACATTGACCCCGAAACCTACGAGGACCCAAACAGGGCTGTCCATCAGTTTGCCAAGGAGTTGGATGCCTCCTGCATAAAAATCGAACGAGTTATTGGAGCAGGTGAGCTCATCCTCAGCTCTTCCCGTTTACTTCCTACGTGCTCTCATACATCATGCTGACAGGCAAATATTTACACCTTGAATGGGGACACAGCTTCATGCATCTTATATTGATAGAGCAATTGCAAGGAGGGGAAAAAGTTCATTGCAATTAATGTGTGGTCTGCATCTGGCAGAGCCAGTCGCAAAGATAACTGCAGGTGAGAAATTGCTGCCACATGGGTTTTACCGAGGCGGTCAATGACAGTATCTATGCATCTCTATAGCATGTCTTATTATAGGTCTTGGTTACACTCCCCTGAGTATAACAAGGTGTTGTACTGCAATTTGTATTCTGGCACTGCACAGCTGCTTTATCTCAAAATACACTAATAAATTTGTCATTGTGAAGTGTGTGAGGTTTTTCTCTCCTTTTTCTACCTACTGGGCCCCTTCACTCATGACTGATTTCAACCCTCGCAGGAGAGTTCGGGGAGGTGTGCAGTGGTCGACTGAAGCTGCCTGGAAAGCGGGACGTGTCGGTCGCCATCAAAACGCTGAAAGTGGGCTACACAGAAAAGCAGAGGCGGGACTTCCTGTGTGAGGCCAGCATTATGGGGCAGTTTGACCATCCCAATGTGGTCCACCTGGAGGGAGTGGTGACAAGAGGTGGGAATATGTCACTGATTTGGAGAAGTATTCACATTAGGTGCTTTTGGATCATAACCAGGTTGTAAATCGAGCTTAAATTAAAAAAAAAAAAGAAATAAACAAAGCTAAGGAATAGCACAAACAGTGTTGCTTATTTTGAGTTGAAAATTAGCTGATGAAAAGTGTAAAATCATAGCACTAAAATTTAAAGAAAGGACTTTCTGTCTGTGAATGTGGCATGATTATTGAGATGCACCAGTAAGCCTTATACATCACTGCTGAGGTTGACCTCACAAATGTTAATTTATAACTTGAGGGGATCAAGGAGAGTTGGGACAAAATGTAAATATGGTTGAACCCTGAGAATGCCATTTACCTATCTGAAGACCCAACGGGAGGTCTGTTAATATTTATTGTGACAAATTCTTTAGTTTTCCTCAATCCAAATGGATACTAGCTAGTTTGAGTGATTTGGGTGTCCAGTCCTGTTTCTTCTTCATCAGGGCAGCCACCGCACACTTGACAGTGCAGCACAAACTGGTAGTGATCCTACATGTCCTTACAAGTGGTGTTTTAAGCAAAGTTTAAAAAAGGTGTTTATTACAGTGTCTAGGTATGTTAATTGAACCACTGTTACCTCAGGTGTGACGTCAAACTTCAAAGGTAAATGGTATGTAGCATAAATCACACCAAAGACATTTATGGATGGCTGGCAGGAGAGTCTTAAAAACCTGGACTTCTTTTATGAAGCCATCTTCATCATATGGAGCAATACTTCCATGAACCTCTTGGGAATTCTCACAATAAATCTTAAAGAATTAAGCTGCATATTTATGAATGGATCAATATGAACAGTGGGCCTACTCACTACTTTTTAACTCTTGTAGTTCTGCTCTCTAGGTCCTTTGATCATGTGATGAAAAGTCTGATGCAGTTTTCAATAAGTTGCTGACTCTAAGATTTTGAACAGCTGGCTAAATTAGCTGCACATCCTCTGTAACATTTTCTCATTTAAAGACTCTAATAAAGGGAGCAGATGGTAACTTTTAATTAAAAGCAAATGAAACACAGCTATAAATAACTGGGAATCAGTTTTGGCTCAGCCATTGTTTTGTGAAGTATTATGAAAGCCAAATAGAAATGAGGTATTCATTAATCATCTGCTCTTCTTGTTTTTTTTTCCATCTTTTTTTCAGGAAAACCGGTCATGATCATCATCGAGTACATGGAGAATGGCTCATTAGATGCTTTCCTCAGGGTGAGTATCACCTCCGAAATCAGCGCACCATCTTTTCCAACTTTTTTCTGCACTTTACCAAAGTGTCTCAGAGAGCAGGGAGTCTGCTATGGGATCGGGGCTCTGCATAAATATCATAAATCTTGTACTAAAGCTTCTGCAGCCTTGCAACCTAAATTCTCCCCTCTGGTCAGTGAAGATGGCTGACCTGCTTGTGTTTCTCTATGCGTCACAGAAGCACGACGGTCAGTTCACAGTCATCCAGTTGGTGGGAATGCTGCGGGGCATAGCAGCGGGAATGAGATATCTGGCTGATATGGGCTATGTCCATCGAGACCTGGCCGCGCGGAACATCCTCGTCAACAGCAATCTCGTATGTAAAGTCTCAGACTTTGGCCTGTCAAGGGTGATAGAGGACGATCCCGAGGCTGTCTACACAACAACTGTGAGTCAATTAAAGTGCTTGCTCTCCCTACCAAGCACCTTGTCTGAATTCTCTAATCAAGTTGCTGCTGGTGCATGAAAATAGAGCAGAGTAAGAAGAGCATGTCCAGGTAGACTCTGGCTCTGTAAAGCCAACTTCACTTTAGAAACTGTTCAAAAAGACGTTAATCAGAAGTGTATTTATTCACTTATAATGTATGGTCAGGAACTGTTAAATCAGAATGTTGTTTTTTCATATATTCAATGAGAGTGAATGTTTAGATGAATGGAATATTAAAACACAGTGATCAAAAATAAAGTTAAAGTTATTTAAATTTAAAGTACATTTGCAGTTTTGCCCGGGAAAAACCAACATCTTGTTCTACAATGTGCTTCCTACAAACAATTGCTTGCTGGAGGCGTGGACTTTGTGGAAGTTTGGATGAAGATCGGATTTAATTTTGACCAATCACTAATGCTTGACCTTAATATGTGTATTGGCCAAACTCCACTGTATGAAGATTACCGGAAATTGCCTTGTTTGCTAGCATTTCACCAGCCACTTGCCTCGCTATAAATGGAACAAACTGGAATGGATGAAATTCAACTGGACAAATGAAGCTCACTGGGAGAAATCCCAGATCACGCTTTAAAGGGAGATGCGAATTGAACAGAACTGCATGGGAAGGGAACGACCTGGCTATGTCTTGATATGTTTATCTCTTTGGTTTTATTTCCTTATGGTGTATTGAACAGAGCTCTGTGAGATGTTCAGCACTGAGAATGTTGTTTGAGAATCTGAAGTTCATAGCGGGTGCCAACCCAAGAACAGCTGAATACAGAGATCCGCTGTATTAAAACACCATGTTTGTATGAAGGTTTTGTCATTATTACATCATATTCTTAAAGGTTAAATATCAATGCGTGAAGCTTGGTCCAAATATGTGCTGTGTCTACAAATGGGTACAGTTTGCTACAGTTGCAGCGCGTCTCTAAATCAGACGCGCGTGACGCCAGAGTGCGTTTGGTGTGAACGCACCAAAAGTGCAACGCACTGAACTTGAAGCGTCAGAGGCGTTTTTTTAACGCGCGTAACACGTTTAGTGCAAACGCACTATTAGGGAGTTAAACGGTTCTCCAAGCAGGTGACCCGTCAGGTCTGCAGTTCGCCAAACCACAAAAAAAAAAAAAAAAAGAAAGAAAGAAAGAAAGAAAAGCTCATACACCGGTGACCTGCCAGAACCGTGTCTGGTAAAAAGCTCAGGAGGGATCCAAACAACCACTCTTAGATCTATGGGAAGGATCAAACTCTGCTCAGTCATTTTTAGCTTACAGAAAAAGCGTCAAGCTGCCAAATAAAGAAAAGTAAATTGACCGATAACATTTAGGCTTATGCATGTCCACCCCTACAAACTCACACAGAGGTGCGCTACAAGATGTTTGACACAAAAGATCTTTTTTTCTCCTCAATATAGTTAATAGTCCTTGTCAAACGGCGTTTTGACCAAAGTCCAAAGGGTTGGAGTCCCAGTTGACGGCGTCTCAACTAAAGTTCTACAGCTTTTTATTTCTCTTTCTCACTGTTTACGTTTTAATTATGTTTTTTAAATCTCTTTCTCACATGCTGTTTTTATTTTAATTATGTAAAGCACTTTGAAATGCCTTGCTGTTGAAATGTGCTATACAAATAAAATTTGATTGATTGAATAGTCAAGAGAGTTGGATAATAAAGTAATCCAAAAATTATTGTTGTCTTTTTTTTACGTGCCTACAGCCGTACAACTGCGGGCGCCCCTGTGCTCAGCTAAATACGCAGATACAATTATGCCGAGGATGCATAGATATGACAAAATCACGACTAGTCAAATATTTGGAACATTTAAAAAAAATAAAATAGTTGTCAAATATCCTCCAGCAATGCCAATTCAGAGAAGCAGGACAACCTAATGGTTCCAGTGCATCATCACGTTACGGCGCAGCTGCGCTATCTGGATGCTGTGGGTCTGAAGCCAAAAGGTGCAGATTATACTTGCTGCTTGTTCCACAAATTGTGCGGGAAAGAGATTTGTGAGAGACAGATAACCAGCCAGACTGCTAACAATATTTTAGCATTGAAAACAAAATGAAAAACTCCATGATTAAACTTTAATGTGCTTGTTATTTTACAAACAAAAATGAATTTCAACAGCCAGAGACCTGAAAGCTTTCAG